TTGCAAAAAATGAAAAACTCAGATAAAAATGAAGGGTTTATAGTTATCTATGAGCAATTGTGACAGAAAACAAAGTTCCCACAGTAGTAGTAAATTTATATTCCAACAAGGACTAAAAGGAAATTAATTAATATTCCACAAAGTGATCATCAATACTTCATGAGTATTACATTTGATTGCATTTGGAAGAACATATATAATGCTGACGGTTGATGCCTGAGTCCTGAATGCAAACTATTCATCACTTTGTGAATCACCTGTTTCAAAGTCAAAAGTTAAGCAAAACTTTATTGAAATTACCTCAAGTAAAACAGCTATGGGTAAAAACAAGAAATCATAAGTCATAACATGGAATAATCCAAGGAGACTAGAAGTGCACACTCCAATCACAACACATAAGGATTAATGTAAATTTGACGAATCAGAGGGCCATATGGAGAACAAGTTTCAAACCAACCTGGTCACAATCAAGCTCATACATTTATGAGCTCAAGTGTGTGTCTGTGTACTAGTCTAGTAGTACTTAGCAACAAAATTAATATATATTAATAAATAGAAACGAGTCAGACAGACAGATTACTGATATATATATATATATATATATATATATATATATATAGAGAGAGAGAGAGAGAGAGATCAAGGAAAGGAAAGAAGTTGCATTGCATAGCAGCAGGAGCAGCTTACTCAATTAAATTAGCGCACAAAGCAACCAAGCAGTTTGCCATCGAAGGTGCGACCAGATTCTGAAGCCCAATCGAAAGGAAAGACGCAAGAACTCAAGATTTCGGCTGAGAAGGATCTTGTTGAACCATCATTCTTGGAAATGGAAAATTCGAATGTCACGACAACGAGATTCATCTTCTCCGTCGTAGGAATAGGATGATCATCATCAGCTTCCAAGCCTGGGATGAAACTGGCAATAACAAAGCAGACTTTTCGACCTCCTAGATGGACAAATCTAAACGTGTCATGTGATCTACCAAGTAATGCATGGAACTCTGTCAGCAGATGTAGAGGTTGGATGCGATGATAATAACAATAGCCATTTTCATCATTGTGGAACATGGCGTAGGCTACTACATCATAACCATGTCCATATCCAGGGATGCGTTCATAGCCAAACATTATCTTATTACATTTAAGGTCACTACCTTCCTCCTCCAAGTCCACCACTAAAGCAAGGCCTAGGAAGGGAAAAGGCTCAGCAGAGCACACCCACCATTGGTTGGGATTCGGGGCGGCGACGTTGAAGCAAAAAGCTGGAGTTATTGGTGTGGAGACCATGATCTTGGTGCCCACAATCGCATAAGAGAAGTAACGAAAGGCACGAGGACAAGGCCGTATATATGGAGGGTCCGGCAGAGTGGTCCAAGTCCCCGAGTTGAACTCCTCAAAAACCGGACTTTTAGAGAA